GAATGTACAGGTAATTTTAAATTAATCAAGCAACAAGTAATGTCTGTCTGCTTGCACACATCTTTGCATTTCGCAGATGCCAACTTTAAATGTTACTTGTAATAAAGTTCAACAGATGTCAAGGAAAAGAAGAAGTAAAATTTGGATAAAAAAAATCTTAATAATTTCTAATACAATTATTACAAGAATAACTTCAAATTATTATAGCAATTATTTTATTTTTATTATATTGCAATTAACCTCATTTATATCGATTCGATAGACTCAACGAATTTGGAAAACAAAAGATTCCGATGTTTAGATAAATTAACAAAGATAATATCTTTATAGTGCTGATACTATTGTATTGGTAATTGTTTAGAAACGGAGATAACAAGTGCTAAATTTGATATCTTCTTCGAATTGACTCATGACACATGTAACAAGGGAGTGGCGCCACTTACACTTTTTTGTTATACGTTTTTGACACAATTTTTTTGTTATACGTAATTCGATTTATAAATAAATAAAAACTTCGGATAGTTAAACAAAAATTAATTAAAATACGTCTCTTATGAAAATGAAGATTATTGTTGATTTTTTTTTTTATAAAATTTGTGCATATTTGAAAATAACTTGACTATCTACTATTGAATCATCACGAAAGAAACGTGATAATTCTTTATTAATTATGAGATCATTGCACTTGTGGTTATTTAAAAAGAGATAAATTTTGATATCTTCTACAAATTTACACACGAAACATTTAATTGCGTAGTGATTCTGAGTACACTTTCAGTTAGTTGAAACTTAACTTCTATTAATGCTTATTTTTCTAAATAAATCGATGTTTGACAGAAATCAGCTGTAAAACTAAAATGGACTCGACTGTGGGTAAACAATATTTAAATAAACGTTTTTTGTTTTCAGAATGATAGACGTAATTAAATTACAATTTGGACACGAATCTTGTGAAACGTTTGTTTTTCTCAGAATGCCAAACTTTTTACTTTTCAAAAAAAAACTTTCAAATTTTATTTGAATCGTTATTTAAATACCTTTTGGTATTCTTAAAACAATTGTCGATTGTTTATGAATTATTTATGAGGTTGTTATTACATTCTTTCTTTTTTACACCACCTACTATTATTGTTTATTGCATTTTTTTGTGTGAAAAACTTAAAGAAAACTAGTAAAATTTGTATCAAAATATTAGTTTTAAATCTATTTGAAAATGTCAACAACACAAAATTGTTAATATTTTAAATATTTAAACAGTTAACGCTAACAAAATAAAAATATGAAAATTCTTAATAATTGTAATTTGTTCTTTATTTATATAAACAAGTTTCTTTTTACTGTTAAGTATCTGAATAGTTACAAAAGTTACTCAATTCTCTATAATACCGTTTTTTTTGCAGAATGTTAAATAACATTATGTAATTAAATTTGAATGCGCATCTATTGAAAGTTTTTTTTATCGCGGAATGCCACATTTTTTTATTTAAATTTACACAGACAGATGTCGTTATTAAAAATGATCTGGATTGAATCGCGTCATTAGTAAATTAGCAATAAATGAATATTTTATTAATGGTTTATTGATGTTAGAGCATTGAACTTACGATTGAGATAACGGAAGTGTTAAATTTGATATCTTCGTTAAATTGAGTTGTGACAAATTTCCCAGGGGGGAAAATGTTGCTGCTCGTACGTTTTGACAGTTAATAAATGGATATGAAGGCAATTAATTATATCCCCATTAAATTCGTATAACGGAAAAATGTTTAGGAATTTCGAGCGAGTGGCGTTCGGTCCTTTTGCAGCGGAGGGTCCGTTTTTATAATGCATGTATGAAAGGAGACAGGTTTTGCCTCGTGAAAAACGACGTGTTTATGGGGTTCAAAAATGCATACAACAACAACAACGAGAGGTTCCGAGGGTCAGATGACTTGTTACCCTTCCGGGGTGACCAAGGGTCAAACCTACATTATACGGTGTATTACAAGATAATGCCTAGGTGACACTTGTAGTCGGCTTTGTCCTCAGATCGACGGGGTGTCCCAAAAAATACGAAGCTCATTTCCCGTGTAATTTCGAAACCCCCTTGACCCACGGCATCAATCACAATATAGCAGCAACAACGAGAAGAGAAAAAATAAACCCAAGAAACCAACCCCATGCCATCCATTTCCGCCGTTACTTTTCTCATCTCATCGTGCTCATTCTTGCTTTTGCGAGGAAAGAAACGTGTTTCTTAATTATTCGAGCACGCGATATGCAAATATCGGAGAATCCGTCAGCTCCCCCAACGGTTCGAGCCTTAGTGTCGTAACCAGATGAGGTTTCTACGCAAAGAAATTTCTAAAATAAAAAAGATATATACAAAAAAAGAATCTTTATGGATCAATACGTCGATTTCTATCGGAGGCTCTTTACGTGATGAATTTTTAAACAGCGCCGCGCACATAATAATCATTACCGTGTTTAGGAAATACTCGCCGTAATTGTGTATAAACTTTTGTTGCCGCCGGTAAATATGGATTTCCTCCATCTCCGCATTTCCGCTACGCGCTCGGAAACTCGGATCAAGTCCTACAACTGCATTCCCAATACCTGTTAAGAATTTAAATCCACCTTTCGACAAACTGCATTCACTATGTTAATCATGACGTTCCTCTCTTTGACGTTTTCTGCTTAATACATACGAGATACACACACACACATATATTTCGTGCAATTGTTTCAAGTGAAATCTTGATTCCTTTTCAAAACTGTCAACGCGAATGCTCGTTTATTAATAATCACATATTTACCTTAATAAAAGGCACATTCAATCCAAAATTACTTAAAAAAATATTTAAAAACACCGTTTAACAAAGTGTTCTATTTTATTATTTCACGTTTATTTGTTATTTGCTGTAAAAAATCTAACCTAACAACATTTGTATTTGCCATATAAACCAATTGCAAATAATTAAATTGCACTTAAAACTAACATCAAGTTAATTTCAATTTTAGTCGAAGCTAGATTTCGGAAAAGGCAACAGCATGTAATGACGGTAATTTGTATAATCGCGTAACGTAAGGATTTGTTATTTCGTGTGAGTGTGTGTATGTGTTTGATTAATTCCGACCGACGTTCGACAGGCGATGGCTAATTATTACAAAGTGGCCAAGGTAAATATGAAAACACTCTTGGTTTCTACTATCATCGATTGGAACGATGTTTATGAACGTTTTACCTTTTAGTTGAAATACAGCACGTGCGCTTCATTGTTTGTAACTGTCAAATTTGATTTGACACTTGATGTTTTGTTTTTGAAACGTTTTAGTACAGTCAACCCTCCTATAACGCGGTGATTGCGTACCGCCTTATATGGAAACCGCGCTATAAGAAACTCGGATTTAACCGAACAAACCAGGCTAATTCGTATCGTATTCTATGAAAACCGTCTACCGCGTTGTATGGAAACCGCGCTATAAGAAACTCGGAATTAGTACAAATCACATCATTCGTACCGCGTTATATGGAGACCAATAAATACAAAAGACAAGATAAATTATAAATTATTTTTATTGAATTGAATTGAAGAGTTCATATAAGTATTGATAAAAAAAAATGAAACAACTACTAAACAAAAAGACTGTTTTTCAACAAAAGCAATGAAGACTTTCGTAAAATTATGTAATCGCCTAACTCATCTTCTTTTAATAGGCAAAATGTCTTCATCACTTAGTTCATCTTCACATTGTTTTTCGATTGTAGCTTTTTTTTCTAACTCCACTAAAACCTCTCTATAGGGATCTAAGCAATATCTTAACTCTCTTTTTAACTTTGCGCTGCGCACCGTTTAACGATCAGTTTAAATGAAATGAAGTTCTAATTCTTTAGCTAAATTTTGCCCTTTTTTCACATCTTGTAAATCGAGATTTGTCACCCATTCGTTTTTCTTATTTTCGTTTACTAATGCATTTGAGATGGATGCATCAATTAATTCCATCAGTTCTTCCTGATCTAAAGTTTCTTCCCCGAGTACTAGCTCTCTTACATACTGACGGTTTACTGCAAATTCTTCATCGCTTAAACGAGAAGCAATGTTTACTATTTCTGTAACTGGGAGTGAAATTGTAGAATCATCTTGTACCATTGAACCATTCATATGCTGCGCGGAAGGAACTTATGGGATCCTGTTGAACGGAAACCGCGCTGTAAGAGTACCGCGTTATAGGAGGGCTCTCGAAATTTCAGCTCCGCGTTATATGGAAACCGCGTTCTGAGAGTACCGCGTTATAGGAGGGTTGACTTATATTCGTTTGTTTGTACAACTGCTATTGTCAATGCTTTATATATTGGAATTACTTTAAATGTTCTAATAAGAATGTTGCTTATATGGTTTTAATATAATGTTATTATAATATTAAATGATCTATACAATTTTATTTGCCATTGAAATGTGTCAAGTCTCATGTTCTAATACGTATAATAAATAAAATACAATGCATTTAATAGCTGTCAAATTTTGGTTGACATCCCATTTGACACTTGACGTTTTGTGAAACAGGTACGAACAAGTGACAAGTGCATGTGACCTTTGGTCAGGGGAGGTTGAAGGAGGGTCAAAGTGGACGCAGGTCAGTCGAAATGACCCCTTCGGAAACTAGATTAAATTATTCACCTGCGGAACAGGTGACATTTTGTGGGTCGCAATAACAACCCAATTCGTCATCAGACAGTCGAATCATCCGTTGTAGCATCCTCTCAAACACGTTCGCCCCTCACATTATATTATATTTAATCTTCTCCTTCGATACATATTGACTCGTCTCTTTTACCTTCATTCTGTCCCCCCACCTCCCCCCCTTTCCAAAAACAAAAGAGACTCGTGTCTGAGATCATCATCCGAATTCTTCAAACATTAGATAACGTCGAGGTGCAGACGCATTATTGTTTCTCGTTTCGGTTTTGTGTTGTTCTTCTTGGTTATTTTGTAGTAGCCAAGAGATAAATAATTGCTTACCCAACATTCCAATAAGATGTGTCCCGGACGATGGAGACGCGTGCCCAGATGATAACGGACAACCCATTTGCTTTACTGATTCCATTGCTATCTTTCACTTGGGATTTCTTCCTTTATTTTTCCTTACTTATTCTTCGTTGCAGGTCTACTTAAGTAGCCAAAAATAAATGTAGTTATCACAGAAGTAGTATCACTTTGAAAATAAATAAATAAACGAACAAGATTTTCTATATTTCTTGTATACGTCTTTCTTGTATGATAGTCGAGATGTGACTGAATGTCTTCTAATTTGATCATCGACGAGCACAGAATTAACATTCGAAACTTTGAAATATGCACCTCCTTTTAGAAGAAGATGGAAGGGTTATTCAGAATGCGAGTGCAAAGAAGATAACTAGATGTTAAAGGGTTGAAAATGTAGAGCAATTCGTACCTCCTAAAGGTTCGGAAGGGTTTAGGGTTGAAACTCAGATCCTCATTGGTCAGCCTTAATTTTTGACCATCAAAGAAGTTCATATTTGTAATATGCAATTTGTATAAACAATATTAATACAATTATATAAATCATTTCAGACAATTAAACAATAAACAAATATTTATATTAACCTTCTATAAATTGTCCAATAATATTAATATTTGTCTTGTACTGTATTTTATATCTCACATAGTGCGGTTTCGATTAGTCCGAATTCACTATAGTCCAGTTAGAAAATATAAGAATAATCTAAATTTTAAATGACAATTGGCGGAATCAAAAACCAGATAATGCAAGGCAAACATAATTCAATTATATTTCAGATACGCATTGGTTAGTCTATAAATAATATTTGTAACGTAATTTTTATAAATAATTATTGCAAATATGTGAAAAAAACTATGACTTTTCGCCTTAAATTTAAGACACAACATTTAACATTGAAAAATTGCATCAAACGTGCAGAAAATTAGCAGAAATGAAATAAACTTCTAAAATTACATATTTTAATAAGCTTGAAACGAATAACATAACATATTTCAAGTAGTAATCTATCATTGACATAATCAATTTGTTTCTAGCATATATTATATAATTATTATCAAAACACATAACTGTTTAAAATATTGTATACTTTAAAAAGATTAGAGGATTTAAGTGGCCAAACTACAAAGTTTTTATGTTTAATAAATATTTTTATAGTGATTCATGGATTATTAATTCCACTGGTTACTTTAATTCATTTTTTTCATATACCATCATTCTATATCAATATTTTGAAAACTTTTTTTTTACCAATCATCTCCTAATTGAAAAAATATAAATTATTAAAGTCATTATAACTTATATAACTCAAATATCTAGTTGATTTAGTAATAATTTTTAAAAAGTCACAATCATAATAATTCTTCGACAATGTTATTTTTATTTTACTGAATTGAACTTTAGTTTTTTTTCTGTAACATCCAAACAGTACTGATCAAAACCGCACTATATGAATCAATTCCGTTATATGTATTATAATCTCATAGTCAGGTATGAAACTGGATTAATCGAGATCTTTAAAACTGCACAAAAATAGACTTGTCTGCTATAAAATAAATTTTTCACTTAAAATTGAGTTTGTTGTAAATTTTCAATCTTATGAATCCACATTGAATCAATTAAATTATTCATGATGACTTTCTTAATAACTTGACTTTAGTAAAATAGTAACGATTATGTAATCGGAGAATGTCTAATTACATGAATGAAAGCAGTGATTTTAAACGGTTATTCTATTGAAGTAATTTTATCAGTTGATATCAAATTTCAATTGGGATTAACTTGGTGGTAAGTGAAAATAATTCTTTTTAAATTGTTATTTTAAATGGTTGTCTTGGATTTGCATGAAAATGCGCGGCATGAGAATTCTCGTAACGTTCCTCTTTCTCACCGTTTGGTCACACATGGTACAAAGTTCAGGTAACGCGAAACGCAAGAGGCGTTAGAAAAAAAATAGTGTAAAGAAGAAAACTGGGCCGAAGGAAGAAATGGGTAGTTCGAATTGACCATCGAACCGTTGATATTACCTGGCCACCGTTTTTATACCTGCCTACGCATATTCGAGCGCCCTTTGACCTCGTCGACAATCTGACCTCATTTAGAATATCCTTACGGTCAGGGCGGAAAAGGAGACCTCACCTTCGTCTGACGGTCACATTCAGGTCACTTTCGGACGGTTCAGACGATCCACCCGGAAGGGTTTTATCGTTATTATTTGTTTGTTTTTGATTTCGATGAAAAGAAGTAGCCAGGAACAATCCTTTTCCCAGGACCCATTCGATCCGCGTCTACAAACACAACGGTCAACCGAAACGTGCGCACAAATTCACAAATAAAGCTCTGTCGCTATGCGAGAATCCGTCGATTTCCACCTTTCTGTGTGCGTTTTTTTTGTTCACGTCGGATGATTTACCCAAAAAATTGAATGGCTTAAGTCAATATTTGATTATATGCAGTATTGATTATAGTTTCCGCAATCCTATTTGATGGTTAAAAATACATCGGATCTTGATCGATGTTTAAATATTTTAAGTGCGATAAGGGCACGAGCCGACGCGAATTTTGGTAAAATTTCTCAAGTGCGAAAAATTCGAGAAAAAAAAAATGTGTCCGACGACCTTGAAGCAACAAAATACAAAAAAGAAAGAGCGAAATTACGAATCAGAATTTGAATGATTTTGCGTACGCTGCACCAATCATCTCGTAAATTTCGATTAGATTAGACCATTAGATTGTCTCACAATTGCATTTCGAACCAAAAAAAAAATGGAATTGATAAAACTACTTAAATATTGCATGAATTTAGAATAAAGCTTTTTTTATCATTTCTTTTTTTCGAATCGAATCAACGCAATTGAAGTCTTTTATCTAATTTGAATTGAAGAGTCAAAAAAAAAAGAAAATAAATGATTAAATCTCGGATATTTTTTTTACCACTTCACGTATCTAATAAGAATGTGTATATATAGTTTTTTTTTTCGTATTGCCTTTTTTTTTCCAATTAAATATTTCAAATTGCGTTACAAATATTGTTATATAAATGAAATGAAACGTTCTTACCCATTATTATTTTTTTTTTGTAAAGGGTGTTGTTTAAATTGGGTCTGCTGCAGAGGTCAAGGGGTGTAAGTGTTGGTAGGTAATAGAGGCAGGTTCATTGCGTTCATCCCTCGGGGCCCAACGAGGGTGACCTCTTAATATTTACACTCGGATTAAGATATGGAAGGGTGACTTTGCATAATGAAAGAGAAAAAAACCGCAGTGAATTATCGACAAAAGCTTGGCATACTCACATTTCTTCTAGATGTAATTTCAATAAATAATTATTAATATTTCTTGCATCATTTTTTTTTCTTATTACTTTTATAAACAAATTAATTTTGAAAAGTCATAAAACGATTAAACAGTTTTTGTTTGTTTGATTATTATTATGTCCATCAACAAAATCATTAATTTGTTCTATCAAATGTAATATTATGTGATTTATAACTCAACTGAAGTATTAAGAAAATTTACATTTTTTTAGTAATAATTATTATATTCTAATATTACTAGTTTATATATTTTTTAATTAATAATTTCAGAAATCATCAATCACGAATTAATTCGTACTTTTTAAAAGGTAACTTAAAATGACATCTGTCTTTGTCAAATTATTGAATTTTATGACATGCAACTTGATAATACACTAATATCTCGTATAATTCGGATTCATTATAGTATGGTATAAATCAGGGTATCCCATTTCCTGCAAAGAAACAATACGTAAATCCTGAAATTTTCACGGAAAACCTTGTTTATTTTGTAGGTCAAGTGATAACACATAACCAATAAAATTTAATAAATTGAAAGAAAAACCATTAATTATTTATTTAGTAATTAATAGTTTGGGAAACCCTGGTATAGATGATCGTTTTTTTTCTTTTATAAAGCCAAGTCCCTTTTAGTGCGGTTTATTTTTGTATATATTCAGTTTCACAATTAGTCCGGAATATTTTAATTCGACATATGTCACATTAATGTCATTAAATAGTTAATTTTATGTTGAATTTTGAAAATAATAAATAAACATCTACAGTTTATTGATGTTACATTACCTAACCAAAATATATGTTCTTTATAAAGATTTTTTTTTGTTGATAGAAATTGATAACTAATAAATTTCAATTTGTCATTATTTGCTGTGACATTAATATCTAATTAAACACTTGTTTTAATGTAGATTTTCAAACAGCAAATGAATAACTACTGAAAAATGACAGTGAAAAAATATTTTTTGTTGATTACAAATGATACTCAAAATATAATAATTATTTATGCACTTGCAAACATTGATTTATTGATTATTAAAATCGGTTGGGTAAGTCTTGCGGTTTAAACCTCTTCAGTCTTCGACGATGATCTGTAGTATGCATCAGCTCCGTAGCCATTTGGTTTGGGTGATTCTCTAGCTGATTATGGTATCTTGTGCTAGCCTTTGCTATTTCATCCTTGACGAAACTGATGTTAGCTTGCTTGTGGATGTCATCGTTTGTGAAGAACCGTGCAGCATTGTTAATTTTCCTCAGCGTTTTGGACTGGAATCTCTGTATTATATTAATACTGGTGTAACAGGCAGATCCCCAAAGCTGAATGCCGTAGGTCCATATCGGTTTTATACAGGAGCACTTTGTTTTCTGTTGATATGCAACAGTGTCTTCCTATTAGCCAGTCCAACTTCCTAGCCCTCAGATTGAGACATTTTCTCTTGGTTGCTATATGCGTTTTCCAAGTAAGGCGTCGATCTAGGTGCATGCCAAGGTACTTGGCCTCATTTGCCTGAGGCGGAGTGGATCCATTTAATAGGACTGGAGGACAGGACTTAGTCTCGTTGGCTATAATTCTCCACTTTTTTAGCCAGTTTTCGATGTTAATAAGGCTGGCTTGCAGCATTTGTGAGGCAGTTGTTGGGTCAGTGTGTGATGCCAGGACTGCAGTGTCATCAGCGAACGTAGCCACAGTGACTTGTTGAGATGTAGGCAAGTCCGCCGTGAAAAGGAGATAGAGCAAGGGGCCCGAAACGCTTCCCTGAGGGACTCCAGAGCTGATCGGTCGTAGAGTAGTCATTTCGTCATTGTGTTTGATCTGAATGTGCTTTAGAGATGGAATATTATACGTGGGGAAGGCACTTCTTAATTTTGTTTAGCAGCCCCTCATGCCACACCCTATCGAAAGCCTGAGATATGTCCAGGAATGCAGCGAAGCAGTATCTCCTCTCCTCAAGACTTTTGCTAATCTCGTCCACTACACGATGTACCTGTTCCACAGTACCGTGACGTTCACGGAAATCGAACTGGTGGTCAGGTAAGACATGGTTTTCCAGTAGCCAGTGTCGTAGTCTGCGTAGCAGCAGAAGATTGGACTGTAAGAAGTGACAGCTTCAGTTGGTTTTCCAGGTTTGACAAATAATGAATTAAAATTTATCAATATCCAATGATGCATGTCATATTAACGTCATTAAGAAGTTGTATAAATGTTGAATTTTGAAAATATGAACAATTACATAATAATTAAATATAATTAATGTCACATTTCGTAGCATAAATATGTGATCTGTGCTGTTTTTTTGTTGAATGCACAAATGGAAAATGTCAAAAAAAATGATAAGAAACACATGTCAAATTAATGTCATTAAAAAGTTGTTTTTCGAAGATACAAAATGAAAAACTACACTCAACCTATTATTGTTATGTTATTTTCTCAAGAATTGTAAATCCACGAGAAGAAAAACGGATAATTTTACATTAAGTTTTCAAAATGAGAAAAATGAAAACTAAATTAAAATGTTATTTAATGGAAAATTGGCATACTTTTGATTCATAATTCATGAGATAACAAATATTTTTGCAGAAAGATGTTCTTTTACAAAAAATATATACACTTATCAATTAAAAATAAATGTTGAAAATAAAATGATCAAAAGGAACAATTATTTTGACTTTTGATATTTTTCTTTTATTTATGTACCTTAAAATAAAATTGAAATAAATTCATAATTAATAAGCGTTCTTTGGATACTTTTTGTATTACACGGTTTTACAATTTCGATTTACACGTTTTTCTAAGAAATCTGTTTACCGTGTAAATCGGTGCTAGTAAAAAGTTAATAGTTTCTAAAATAACAATGAAATCTGATTGTCATAAAGATATGTTTATTTTAAGAACTGTACTTTGAACCGTTCTCACTTTGCGCCTGTAAAGTTCTAGAATTTGATTGGATTGAGATTAATTCAATATTCGGTTTCTTAATCACAAGAGCGAAAACGTAAACAGTACCGAGTCCAACAATGGACATTATCGGTATTTCGTGTGTTTGTGTGTGTGTGTGTGTGCAATGAGGGTCAATAATCTACGTAGATAAATTCGTATATTTCGGTATACAGATATACCGTTCATTATTGTCTAGCCGAATATAATAAATAATCCTTCTTTATTATTTTTCCTTTTTCCCTCTGCCTTTATTTTCGGTTCACGCAATGAATATTCAGTGTGCGTATGCAAATACCGCATCTGATTTGCATGATTTTTCAAAAACACCAAAAACCTCTCGACCTCCCTTCATTCCACCTTACAAAATCGTCGTGGAAACGACGATGATGGAAGCCAGAACGAAAATGTAGTGGAAATGGAAATTAAAATTGAAAGAAACGACTGAAAGGAAAGGAAAAAACAAATGACGACGACGACTTCTGTATGTGATAGCGATGATACGCGCAATATAATGAGTCGATAGGAATCTTTTGTCTACTGTGGAAGCGATTTGGATAACATTTGTTTTTTGAGCTCTCTCCACCACAGCACAACGCGCTGATCCGATCTCGCCGGGTCAAAGAGTTGAAAGATCGCACACCGCATTACAATTTATAATTAATTAGATGTATGCGTCTCGAAACAATGACCGTCGCATTTTCTGCTCGATCTGATCGAGGACCCCGAGCATTTACACTATATATGTATATCAATTTCACATTTCCGCTCTTTCTTCTTGATACAGATCTACTTTATGAATATTGAAACCAAACGTATCTAAATTCAGTCAAAAGTCATCAAAGTCAAGACGACCTGCATTCATTATTTCATTCTTTTAACGATTCTGGAAATTATATTTACTTTTGCATATTTATTTCTAAATATTCTTGATCAATGGATATGTAAAACATTGAGGAGAATTTATGAATTAAAATAACTAAAAAATTATTATTATATTTTTTACTCTTGATATGATACATTAAAGCAATGATCAGATGTACAATGTATCGAT